ATATTACAGTATATATCATAGTTATTTAACACTCATAGCATATGGAGACAATGCATCAAATATGTGAAACCAACATCATTTGCATGTACCTTTATGTAGGTCTGGTTAAGAATGACCTGATGCAAAGCTTTAAAATCACACTCAAGTAATTCCGTGAATGAGTGGGTGAGGTAAACTGAAAGTGAGTTTTTTTTTGTGTCTGACAGGCTCGCGCTGCTCGTCAGCTCCTGGAGAGGATCCAATCCCACGGTATCGACGCTCGGCTGGAGGCTCTGAAAGAGCTCGCCAAGCTGTCCGCAGACCCAACCTTTGCCGCGGAGTTCATCAATATGGAGGGCATTGGGACGCTGGCACGTCTTGTTGAGAGTGGCACCCAGTGAGCACAAATTGTGTTTTTCTGACAGCAACGATATTTTGTTTTTACTTCTTTATACGTGTGCTATTAGTCCTTGGTAGTTGGACCAGGTCAGATGATGTGAAAAGGCCTCTACTAACTGTTCTTTGCTTCCTTCAGCTTTGGTGAGATGCTGGCCTTCACTCTCACAGCCTTCCTGGAGCTAATGGATCATGGCATTGTGTCCTGGGACCTCATCTCCCTCTCCTTCATCAAACAGGTACCTCCTCCAACAAAAGAGCATTTCATCTGACATTTTAGTTTCACAGAGAGCCCACTGAACAAATCGACACGGTTTTAAATCCATTTTTTATTCGTAGACTTTTATTTAATTACTTCATAAACCTTTCGTCCTACATGCCGGAAAAGTATGGGTGCAGTTGCCTAGCAACTCCTCACATTATTCCAAGCTCCTTCAGTGTGTCGAGTACGTGACTCTTTGTCTCCTGAAAACTTTCTGAACTCTGGATTTCATTTTACAGATAGATTTATGTTTTAATGAGGAAAGGGAACGTGGTGATAATCTCTTAAGGATTACAAATTCCTGTGAAGTGACTCAGTTGGTGACGTTAACGATTCAGAGTCGTCTTCGTGTTGCTCGGTCGTCTCCGTCCTCACTCAGATCGCGGGCTATGTGAACCAGCCGATGGTGGACGTGTCCATCCTGCAGCGCTCTCTAGCCATCCTGGAGAGCATGGTCCTCAACAGCCACAGCCTCTACCATCGGGTGGCACAAGAGATCACCGTTGGACAGCTCATCGGGCATCTGCAAGTGTGAGCACACACACACGCACAGGGGCTTCGTGCACTCTGATATGGGGGGGGCAGATGTGTGAGTGTAGCATTGTGGGGTAACTTAGGAAATGAAATATTAGAAATTTGCTACGATATTTGGTCCGTGGCACTTTTTAAAGTGTGAGTTGAGGATGCGTAGATGACCCCTATCAAACACCAAGGCTGAGATTATTCTATATTGTTCTTGTTGTAAACAAATCCCATTTAAAAAAAAATAAATAAATAAAAAAATAAGAAAATAAAAATAAAACTTCTCTCATCCGAGCCCATTGGTTTCTATTGAAGACATAATCCTTAGAAAACAGGTCACATGTACATACTTTCCTAAAACAGCTGGGCACTGTAGTTTTTAGAAAACCTTACTCGATCAGAAGCAAGTAGTGCACTTGTTGAGGACTACTTTCAGCAGCGGATTTATGTACTGCGCTCAGCGTCTCCTCTCCTCACCCCAACATGGGTTAACTTTATGCTCCGACATAAGCAACTGCGATGAGGGCCCGAGCTTGGTTTGTGGGAGGAAAGTGTATGTGAGATTGCTAAACATACCATAAAAAAATCCCTTGTTAATTGTATTCATGGAACATTTCACCCAGTGCAACATTGTGCTCTGAAATGCTTTTTGTAATAGTTTCTGGACAACGATGGAGCTCAATGGCTCATAGGAAAAAGCTATATGAAACAATACATGCTACGTTAGTAGGATCCATTCATTGATGGTTTTGGTCTTTTTATGGTAGTAAATATATTTCCATGGACTTTTAAATATGTTCAAGATACTCTTAGTTTTACTGCTTGTAAAGAATATCATACAATTATTGAAAACGGTGTGAAAGAGGGTTCTCTAAACATCCTGCAACCATCCCAAGTATTTGTAGTGATAGTGATAAAAGTGAGAGCATAGTTGTTGTTCTTTAGTTAAAACTCTGTATGGACATTTGTGGAGCACGATGCTTCTAACTGGTTGTTGCAAAACTTGATATTCCTTCAGGTCAAACCAAGAGATCCAAACGTACGCCATCGCCCTCATCAATGCTCTTTTCCTGAAGGCACCAGAAGACAGACGGCAGGTCAGTTCCCTGTATTAGAGAAAAGCACTGAATACACATAATAGATAGACAAAGCTAGAATACTAATAATGTTCCAGCCTCACACTGCGCTCTGAGAAAGCCACCCATACATAAAAGACTGACAGTTATTCATAAGAGTCGCATGTTTTTTTGGTGTCAGAGCTGCAGATATTGTCTCTCTCTGGCTGCTAATGGTGGCAGCAGTGCGTTGGTTACTAAAGCTAATCCCATGAATACGACGTCTGTCTGCCAGCTGTCAGGATTCTGTCTGACAGTCATCGCTGTAATGACACACTCACTCAAAATAGTACTCGCTTTCCTTTTTGAAGTTTTCACATTTGTTTACGCTGCAGTTATTCCAGAATAGCTCAGCGAGGTAGACCGACTGAAGGATGGCTGACTGCTTGTGACAAATCGACAAAGTGCTTTGATCGGATCCGAGCAGAATGCAGTAATTTAAGATTCATTTAAAAAAATGCTTTATTTATATTTGACTCAAGCATTGCACTCAATGCCAGCCAGTGGTTCACTATTTCACAAACGTGGCATGAAAAATGATTCGCGTGACATCCAAATATACTAAAATATGACATTAAGTTCCGGTTGATTAAACAGAGTCGGACAGAAAAGAGCCAAATAAACAAAGACTAAAAGAGCGAGTGCTTCTTTGGATGTCTGTCCGGTATGTTCCTCATCACTGTCACACCATTTGTCTGTGCTGCGCTCACCCTGCAGTGATATCTTCTGTCACAGCTCACACGGTGCATGAGCATTCTGCATTGTTTCATCCTTTTTCACACATTGTCACTTGCCCTGTCTCGTATATAATTATGGTTCTCCATGTTGGAATTTGATTTGTATGTATTACTTATATATTTTTTTACCATAGAAAAACAAGACTTTAAAGCTTCTATCCTAGACAGGGAAAATAATATCTCAGGAATTAAATTGGAAGAACACACAGAGAGTGAGAATTGAACAGAATACATCCTGCATCACAATACAATATCACTTCAATAATATATATTGTTTTACTTTTATAAGTAAATTTAAATACTATACATTTACAACTAACTCACAAGATTTACTTTCATTTGATCAACAAAATAAACAAAAAATTGTGGCAGACATCGTTTTTTGTTGGCAAGATCTTTCCAATCATCTGTTTATCAATCACAATCTTAGACTTTTCCATATCAGATTTCAGTATCCAACTAAATGCAACTATTTTACAGTGAATTGCAATTAATGTATAAATTAGTAATAATAGTTCATGAAGTGAGAGCTGAAGATATGCAGGAAGAAAAGGACATGGGCCTGTTAAAAGGAGATGACAAATGTCTACAAGTAAAATGTTTGACAAACAGCTACGTTAATGCTGCTCATGCTGGATTCTCTGTCTTTAATAATAAGTCTAAACACTTCGATCAATCACTTTAATTTCACACAAATGTCACAACACAATAGTAACATCAAGTGGACGAGGCAGTGAGACGTTGTGTGCTTCAGAAACACAACTTTGACTGACTGTGAGAGATGTGTTTGTTTTAGTAGCCTAATTATAAATCAGCACTTTACATTGAATTTAGGGCAAATTGACACTGAAGATATTTATACAGTGGAATATTTATATTGTAAAACTCCAAAAGGTCCTCAAATCCTGAGTCTTCAAAAAAAAAATCTTCACTCGGTTTTGAAAGTGCTGATGAAAAATGCAGAGTTGGTTTGAAGGTGGAGGGTTCAATGACATTGTGAGAAGAGGAGGGGGATTATATTTTACTTAATTTCATCGTGGGTTGCATGAGGACGCACAGTATGTCCGGACATTTGTCCTAGAACATGCAGTCATCTCCTACTGCTGCTGTTGACCACTGGAGGGCAATCTGAGTCAGTTCTTTGAGATAAATGCATCAGAGGGACACGCAGTACTTATTGAATGTGGCTGGCACTGTTGAGCTGATCACTAACGGTACTAAAAGCAAGTACTTAACAGCGAAGCTACTCTTTAAAATATAGATTTGTTTTATTTGTTTTATAGTTTTTAAATTAAAAGGAGACTTGTTGAAAAAACTTCTAAAATCATGCAGCAATTCTGGCAGCAGTGTAGCAGTACAACACCATTCTAATATGTCATGATCTGATGAGTTGTCTCTCCAGTTTATTTTTACGGTGAAGAAAATCCTTGACAGATTAAGGTTACATGACTAACATCTCCGCTAAGGGAGCTACCAGGACACCACAGTGATTTTCATGCATAAATGGGGGTTTAAAGATCACATTTTCCTCTGTGGGTTGATAGAATTTCACTGCTCTTTAGCTTGTAAAACCTTTTCAAAGCCAGTTGGATGAACCAATAAATGCGTGGTCGTCTGATTCGGCATGTAGGCCATGTGAGGTTTTTTCAAACAGCTAAATGTCGTGACTACTTCTTTTTTGACATTTTGTTGTTTTATGTTCTTATTTCGTTGCATGCTGTGCCGGTGATGTATCTCTGTATCTCATTGTCCATGTGTGTGCGCTCTTTGTTTCCATCACTGTTACACCCACGTCCCTCCTCCCTCCCTTCAATCTGTAGGAGGAGTATACTAACCCGCTGGAGCAGCACCTCACTGTGAGTACACATCCCTCAGCATCTCCTATCGTCCTCTCCATCCCACTGCCCTTCTCCTGCCTCACTCTCCATCTCTTTCTGTGTCATTGAAAGCCGCTATATAATCCATGCAGCAGCAGACAGACTGTGTTGACAGATTAAAAAATGTTTTACAGAAGGTGTGAAGGGCAAATAGTTATAACCAGTGATGGAAACATAGCTTCAGAGTGCTTCTGCATTTCAGTAGTTGTTTAAAATTCCCATTTGCTGTAGGTAGACTTTGGTAAAGTTACTGCTGTGCACTGCTTTGCTGTGTAATAAAGCATCTTCCCTCATCAGCGCTCTGTGTTGGAATAACGTGTCTCTTTACCCTCAGGAAATGGCAAGCACTTTGGCTCAGAAACACCTGCGATCCATCATCCTCAATGTGAGTATCAAATCTGAAGTGAAAGTTTGAAAGTATTTTTCTGGAGTTAATGCTCTGCTTCAGAGGCTGTGAAATATCCAGGTGTGAACACAGGATTTGAAGAGTTCCCAGAGGTTGGGTTTGATACTAGTGGCTAAATCAAACATTGGAAAACTTTCTTTATAAAACATATTTCTGTTCAGCCTTCTTTGAGGCTATCCTTTGCTGGGGTCTGGTGGTCGTTGGGGGGGCTCTGGGACCACCAGTTCAGAATGTGTCTCACTTGGAGAGCTGCGACAGAGAACCAGCAAATGGGATACAAAATCTGCTCTGAAAATTATTCTTTTTGGCACCGACTCTTCCGGAAGTGTCTGACTGAACTGGCTGCAAATTTGAGTGTGGAAGACATTCAGGAAGTATCCTGGAGCAGCTCCAGCTGCCGTGTTCTCTGATCGACCCAAAACCTGTCTGTCTGTTAAGGAGACCCGTTTGTGCATGAATTGTAGTAAAATATAGAGGCTTTGCTCTTAACTAAATGCTCTTTTTTCATCAGCATGTTATCAGAGGCAACCGACCAATCAAAGCAGAAATGGCACATCAGCTGTATGTGCTGCAGGTGTTGACCTTCAACCTTTTGGAAGAACGAATGATGACCAAAATGGATCCCAATGACCAGGTAAAAATGTAGATAGGGAACCTTCTGTTCGGCAGATCATTGGCTTGTGTGTTTCGATAATGCCATTTATTCTGTTACAATACAACACGTTAAGTGAGGTACAAAAAATGCCTTTTAGATGTAAAAGAATATAACAAATCTATCTATCAACAACATGGTTAATCAAACTTTGATCGGTGTCTTTAAAGGTTTTAATAATCTCAGTTGGGTTTACACTGAAATTAAGTGTAAAAAGAGGACTAGATAATTAACATAATTAACCTGTCCTTTGAACCTGTTTGCACAAAGTGCACTGTGTACATGCGCCACACACGGAAATGTAATTTCCAGTCTATTTTCCCTGAGATTACATTTTTAATTCCAAAAAAAAGTCAAAAATTATTAGTATGTGGCTGCTATAATGTTAAAAATTGCTAATTGTTCATACAAATGTGAATAATGTTGGCTTGCTGTGGTTCAGGCTCAGAGAGACATCATATTTGAGCTGCGAAGGATTGCTTTCGATGGAGAAAATGACCCCACTGGTACAGAGAAGAGAAAGGCCATGTACACCAAGGACTATAAGATGCTGGGCTTCACTGTGAGTCTCCACTATAAACATTAGTTACATCTTTTTAGTTACATGTTTTAAAACTGCTTTAACATTTCTGTTTTAAATGCAGAACCATGTGAATCCGGCCATGGACTTCACCCAGACTCCCCCGGGAATGCTGGCTTTGGACAACATGCTGTACCTCGCAAAGGTTCACCAGGACACCTACATCAGGGTGGGTTTGGGCCTCGTGCAGGACTTTGCTCAACTCACAGAGGTGCCACATCTAACATGTCTTCTCACTCACGGCAGATTGTGCTGGAGAACAGCAGCCGAGAGGACAAGCACGAATGTCCCTTCGGCCGGTGTGCCATCGAACTCACTCGAATGTTGTGCGAGATTCTCCAGGTTGGAGAATTGCGTAAGTAGATCTGTGTTTGACACGAGGGGAATATGTTGTACTTTTTTAAAATCCCCAATCCTAAAATGGCTCAGAAATTGTGGTGTGACACTCCTTACTCCAGGCCAGTGTGTGTGTGTGTGAGAGAGGAAAATGCCTCTCATACTAACTTTTTATTCTTTAATATTTTATTTTGTGTAGCTAATGAGGGCTGCAACGACTATCACCCCATGTTCTTCACTCATGACCGGGCATGGGAGGAGTTCTTCTGTGTCTGCATCCAACTACTTAATAAAACCTGGAAGGAGATGAGAGCCACAGCTGAGGACTTCAATAAGGTCTGAGACTAAAGCGCTCTCACAGTGGTCAATAACACATGCAGCTAGATCTGATAACGTTTATCCCATCACCTCTTAATATTTAGGAAGTCTGATATGTTTTTATTCCACCTTTCCTCACTCATTCCGTGCATATGTGCTTCAACCCTGAGCAGGTGATGCAGGTGGTCCGTGAGCAGATCACCAGGGCTCTGGCAATGAAGCCGTCGTCTTTAGACCAGCTGAAGAATAAACTGCGAGGCCTCAACTATTCAGAGATTCTGCGTCTGCGGCAGTCAGAGAGAATGAGCCAGGACGACTTCCAGTCTCCTCCCATCATGTCAGTGTGTAGTAAAGATGAATAATTGTCTAGTATTGTGCACATTGATGCGTGTTTTTCCTTTTGTTGCTCACGCCGTATTTGTCCTCCAGTGAGCTGCGGGAGAGAATTCAGCCAGAGATCTTAGAGCTCATCAAGCAGCAGAGACTCAACCGGCTGTGTGAGGGGAGCTGTTTCCGCAAGCTGGGGAACCGCCGAAGGCAAGGTACACACAGTATCAATACAATCCCTTTGCTTTCTTTCTGCTGAAGTAGGAGTACTGCTGCTGTTGGTTAGCAGCTAAGCACTGTGTTGTTGTGTGTCTCTGCCTCTTTTGTAGAGAAGTTTTGGTTCTGCAGACTCTCACTGAATCACAAAGTGCTGCACTACGGAGACCTCGATGAGTCACCTCAGGGTGAAGTGCCTTTTGAGCTACTCAGCGACAAGAGTGAGATCCATTTATTTCTTCGCGTGGCTCCATCTCGTGAACTTTTCATTACACACATGATGACACATTCACTAGCAGACCACACTGTATCTGTCAGTAGGCTCACCTTAATAAACGTCTCTTCATGTTCCTCTCAGTCCCTGTCTCTGACATCAAATCTGTGGTGACCGGGAAGGACTGCCCTCATATGAAAGAGAAAAGTGCTCTGAAACAAAACAAGGTATTAGTTTAGTTTGTTTTTCACTGTCATTCTAGTCACATGGCTGTTCTTTCATTCCTTGCCGTCACTGAGTGTGTTGTTTGTCCTCATGTTTGCTTCTCTCAGGAGGTGCTGGAGTTAGCCTTCTCCGTCCTCTATGATCCCGATGAGACGCTCAATTTTGTTGCACCGAACAAGTATGAGGTGAGCTCAGCAACAGTGAGGCTTAAAGCCACATGATTCAATATTCATTTTAACAATGGGTTGAATGTGTTTTAACAGGAGCATTTAGCAGTTGAAGAGCCATATATTTTCCTCAGGAGTTGGTGGAGATCAAAACAGAGCTAAAAAGGAGCCGGAGGACAGAGTAAATATTAGAGAAACATTAACCAGGCGGCCAGAAACACAACTCCAAATAGATTCTTATGTTGTAATGTAAAAGGCAACTGCTAACATTACTGCTATTACCAGTTTACCCGGTTATAATATGTCTGTGTGGCCAAAAAAGTTATCAATACTGCTGCTTTCACTATATAGCTTAGACCTGGCATTATTTGTGTAACCACCTAAATAACTTACTTAAATGTTATTTAATAGTCACATACATACATGAAATTTGCAATTAATTCATCCTAAGCATTAAGAGGAAAACGCTGTAAAGAGCCTGGGAAACAACTGTCTCAATATCATATTTACTACATGATTATAATGGCTAAAATAATTCACAATAAAGATAATCTCGCCATAGCTTTATAAAATGTGAAAAAATACATGTAATGATAATAATGCTATCAGTGAAATTCATCCTACATTTAGTTTATTGTGCGTGTTGTCTCATTTTTTGCTCATTAATTACATAACTGTGCAAAAGCGTGATTTAATATTACCTTATGTTTCTTATTAACGTGATATCAATATTTCATTTTTTAATATCGCGGTTATCATCAATATCGGTATATCAGTCAAAACCATGCAGCTTTAATTTCAAATGTGTACCATATTCGCATTAAATCTGGATGTCCAAATCAACAAACTAACCTACAACTTGTTGACGTGCACAGCAGCGTGAACCGACTGACGCACTGTTCTCATGCATGTTCCTCTGTGTGGTGTTTTCGGGGCAGTACTGCATCTGGACCGACGGGCTGTGCGCGCTGCTGGGCAGAGAGATGGGCAGTGACCTGACTCGCAGTGACCTCGATACTCTCATCAGTATGGAGATGAAGCTCCGCCTCCTCGACCTTGAGAACATCACCATCCCAGAAGCCCCGCCCCCCGTGCCGAAGGAGCCTAGCTCTTATAACTTCACCTACAACTACAGCTGAAGTGTGTGTGTGTGTGTGTGTGTGTGTGTGTGTGAGTTTGCGGTGCATGTGTGTGTTTGTCAAGGATGATTATCTTTTGATGAATTCAGCTGCAGATGTTTGCACCTGGAGAGGTTACTTTGAACACTTTTATTTTATTTTTTACATTTCAGAACCCTGGAGACTTTTCTCTGTCCATGTTTGTGATGCTGTATGGTTCGTCTAATAGAGGAAATGTGTTTATAGCTTCACAGGGAGGTCCAAGGTCGGGGTCCACTACAGAGCAGTGATTCCTGTGAGTGAATCTCATTTATCAGTGCAGTCTCCAGGCAACGCATCCCCCTTCTTTGCTATTTAAAGGTATAAAGCTGCCTAAAAAGTGTGCCTGATGGGGAGGGGAGTACAGATCTGCAAATTAGTCTTTAATGGAGTAGATTTCAGTCAGATTGTGGCTTAACTGGTCAATCAAATAGTGCACTTGAAGTGACTGCCATTCCACTGGTAATACCTTTGATTCGGTCTATCCCTCCATATGACGGACGTATGATGTAACGTCACACAGAGTAGAGTGAGTGGGCCGAGAGTTTACACACACACACTCACACACACACTCCTGAAATGACATTCAGCCAGTGTCTCGCTCAAAGTCACTTTTAGCGGGAGGGTTAGTTGATGTCAGGAGGTATTGAACATGACGTTTCTGGTGAAAGGACGGTCTCCCTAATCAGAACACCGTCCTTCTGTCATCGTGAAGATATTTGACCAGCAGTTCAGTATTAAAAAGAAAATGTGCTAAAATTCAGTTATAAAGAGAACTAGAAGCACAATTTAAAAAATCTACTTATACAACAGATAAGGTCTAAGGGTAATAACTGTTTGTTACTTTTATTATGTTTATCATGCTGGGACGCAAAAGCCTAGGGCTGCAACTACCAATTATGTTCATGAATTGATCATTTGATCCATGAAATAACATAAATTAGTGGAAAATAATAATCACAATTCCCTAGAAATTCAGTTCTCAAGGTAATATAAATGTTGTTTTGTCTGACTAATGTTCCAAAAACCCCAACAAAATCAGTTTGCAAAATATAACTAGCAAATAATTATACCTGAGAAGGTGGATCCTGTTAATTTTTGCCTTTTTCTTAAAAAAACGTGTAAACCAATAAGTGTTTGTCAGAATCTTTGCAGATGAATTGCCTGTCCATCAACTAATCAATTAATGCACTAATCGTTTAACAAAAAATGCACAAAAGTGTTCCTGACAGCATATGAATTGCTTTCAGCTTTTGTTCACTCAACACTCATGCTGCTTCAGATCGTTTGACTCACTTCTCTCCTCAGACATCTTTTCATAGCCGGTTAAACAGTGCGAGTTAGATATACGTATCCCATTGAATTGAAACTGTTTAAGCATGTTGTGTGAAGACACCATTGCTGGCTTTATGCGTCTGTGAGTGTGTATTTGTGTGTGCAGATTTACGCTTTAAAAAACATGAATGACCCTTTTATTGTTGAGTTATAGTCACTGCATTGCCTTATCAGTCAAAGTTACCTTATATTTTTGGTAAAAGTAGCATTTATAAGCAGTACATGAATATAACACTTTATACTATAATGTGTGTTAGTTCATGTTTTTGTTATTATGACTTCTCCTATGAAGCATTCACTACAGATGAGTAAACATGAAATTAATGTTTGATAACTTTAAAACAGTTGAAATAAATTATAATCATATATCTTCAATATATGTTAACATATGGTAGATTGTTACAGTATAACAATTTTACAGTGTTTTTACAACTATGTTATACTGTGTTATTAAACACTGATTAACTGCTAATACACCAGTTATAGATGCTTCATAGGAGGAGTGACAGTTGTTTTTATAAACCACTAATTAATTGTTTATACACTGCTTATAAATGCTAAGTTAGGTTTGTGTTACCATGTTTGGTAAGATTATAGTGACAAGTTGGTGTTTCTTTCCAGTTAAAAAAAACCTGCCTGACATACCAACAGTGTTTGATGCCCCTTGTGTTTGAATTAATCAGCAGTTTTGAGGCTTGATTCCAGACTTTTTTTGGCACGCTGCACAGGCAAGCGGGACTAAAGAGCAGCTCTGTTGGCCTGTTTTAGAAACACGACCCTGCCATGAATGGAAGCAGGTCAAAGCCAGCTGAGTGAGATGGCTGTGGGCATCGGGAACATCTAGTGCTGCTCATGTATCGTATGAGCAGACCGTATTCTGTGCTTTGTATGCGGTGATATAAATGATAGTGCTGTCGCTTGATGTTGTTTTCTTATTTTCATAGTGTCATCGGTTTGTGTATTTGATTCACTTTAGTCACTTAATGTCCTGTCTAAACCAGTACTAATCACTACTGTCACTTGTTGATGCAGAATAGAATTATATTTTTGTAAATGATTGTACAATCTTGTCAGCTGTGAAGAGAATGGGTATCGAACCAACAGCATTGCTCTGTACAACACATCCAACATGCCCATAACTGGGGAAGGACAGTCACACTAAAACAAATACAAAGTCACCACCAGGTTTTCAAACTACAAGCACCTCATATTGTTTAGGAATGACACCCACTCCAGCACCCAATGATGATGTCAGTGTTCATGTATCTTATAATGCTAATCGAAATAATGAAAAATGCCATTACTGTTGATGATGTTCGTGAAAAGGAATATATTTTATGTTAGTTGTTTTCAAATAATGTTTCTGTTGTTTGGTTTTTAACCAATGTCGGAGGTTGTAAAGGTTCCCTGTGGAGTTTTAGACTTCTAGTAGTGCGGTGGAGCGCTCTTTCTCTGAGTGGGTCCCTGTTCTGTATGTCTAACGCACGCAAACGAGGACGCACTTGTGGTACAAATTCCTGCCAATGGTTTTGCGTCACACTACTACACTGATCAACAGGTGGTGGTAATTCACCAAGAAATTCTGCAATTCTCCAGAAAAGGCAGTGTAGATGAATTCTGCACGCTATTAAAGATGGATGTTAACAATACTAGATGTAAAATACTCAAACAATCATTTTGCAAATGTTTTATGGCACGCTTATTAGACCTCAAGGACACACACTAGTGTTAGTGAGCAACACTGAATGTAAACAAAACAAAACTCCACAGGGCCCCTTTTACTGCTCAAAAAGGGTTATTTTATATTCCAGTAAGTCGTCGAACTGCAGCTAAAATATATCAATAATGACAAAGTACTGCAGTGAGTAAAGGATTGTTGCATTGGATGTACTAACAGTATGAATTGGTACTCTTTTACATGACTTGCTAAACTATTTATTTCCACTTGCTAGTGATCGTAAAGAATGACATGTTTGTTAAGAAATGACAACATAAAGTCAAAATATGGTTTACATATAGATCGTTGTATGTATATACAGTATTGTGTTGCCTTATTGAAGAAAATGTATCATGTTTTGTGTGAATAAATACAGAGTCTAACTAGATTAGATGAGACATCTTTATTGTCCACTCACATGGAACTTTGTCTATGTTTCAAAGTTACTTTTTTACTGACAATATTTTCTTCTACCTTTTTTAGCTAAACCTGGTATTATTCAACCACATCAATTAAGATATATTCATAGATATTTATATTATATAAAGAAGAAGCCTTTGACAGTGTGTTGTAAAAAAAAAAGTAGTATAAGAATTATTCAGATATTTTACTTGGTAAGTTTTCCCTGTGTCGTTTCAGACCTCCAGTAGCGCGTTTTTCATTATCCAGGTCCCCGTTTTGCTCGTCTCGTGCACGCGAGCGATATCGCGCGCGCTGCAGTGACCCAATACTCTCATGGTGTGCCTCTATTCCCTTGATCTGCAGGTGGAGGTAATACGCCAAGATATGCAACGAAGTGCCATCAAAGGCATAGAAGAAGAAAACTGCAAGCCCGTCAGCATGGATGTAAACAGTGCAGGATTTAAAATACTTCAAAATCGACTTTGCAAATGTTTGATTAGGACGGAAATACAACAACATATTCGTCAGAGCTCAAAGAAACTCGCAGTGCATGTTGGTGAGTAACTCTAAATGTAAACATTACTTTTTTATTTTGAAGAAAACTCAACAGGACCCTTTTAAATATAGGTGTTAATACCTCATTGCAAATAAAGGTTTAGCATTAATTGATGTTACTTCAGAAGTATTAACAGATATCAAAGGTATCGAAACAATGTAAGCCATCGTTATGGAGGCAGAAGGGGCCCTGTCATTGTTAGATGCACTTCATATAAGGGGATTATTTGACTGATGAATTATAAGTAAAAAAAACATTTTAGTGTTGTAGTTGGCCTAGTTGGAGCTATTTTTTATCTACATTTGGAATTTGTTTTCTGGAGGCTAAAGCAGCATCTCACATTTAAGCTGTCTAATACATGTAGTGCAGTAAAAGTAGCCTACATATTAGCCTCTGAAATTTAGTGGAGTCAAAGTGTAAAGTAGCATAAAATGGAAGAACAAACATGTATGTTTTGTTCAGTACTTGATTAAATGTACTGAGTTACTTTCAACCACTTAGTATAACATGTGATTGTTATGACTTACTGTATGTTTTGGGCAGGGGTATAAAGCTAAAGGACGAATACACCAACAATTTATTTACACTTCAGTGCAGGCAGCTTGTATCAGTTGTGCAAATCAGGACACTTTTACCGACTGCACTGGAAAGAGTTTTGTTTGCTGTAATTGTGTTAATCAAGTTCAACTCACGTTATTAGGAGCAGTCTGACTGAGACAAATCAATTGATATTTGTATTATTATAATCTTTTAGGAACAAAATTCCCTGTGCTACTGCTCATCAAGGAAACACTTTGGAAGATAATAACTTCATTTGACTATACTTTCACCTGTCTGAAGCCTTCGCTCAGTTCCAGGTCTTACTCAGTAGGGGACACGGGTGTCAGATGAGCTATTATCATACTTATTCCTACTGTGGAGCAGCAGCAGCTGCAAACTGATATGCAGGGAGTTGTCGCTGCAGATAAATCTCTAATATGTGACTTTGAGTTTGGTTTACACGCAAGAAAACAGACATAAACAGTAACGTTGTATAAATGAAAAAGATTTTATTGAATAATAGCTCAAAATAGAATTTAACACAATTACTTTTAGATCACTTTTATGCTTAAAGAAGGCGTGGGTTGTTAGGCGCGGAATCAGGATGAGCATACTGTATTATGTACTGTGAGATGTACAACCCAGTCCAAGGTACTGAAAGCTAAGCAAAAGGGTTGTTTACATCGATGCAAGAATTTCATTCAGTATCAGACTCGAGACAGAGTTTCATCTACTTGGAGAAAGAATGGTTCAGTCTGTGGAACATGTAGACAGGAAACATGACAAATACCCTGCAGGTCTGAGCCGCTCTCCTCTGCAGGTCTCTCCCTGGATTGAATCAGATTGTCTTTAGTTTCAGTCCAGTGGTCATCGGCAGCTCAGGCTCATTTGTTTCTCCTGTGTTCACTCACTGTGCTGCAGGAGTATGATTGTCCAACTTTATTTTTCCTGGTTAGGGTTCAGGCGTTCTTTACAACACATAATAACACACAAACAATGTCATTATATACTTTATACTGTATATAAAATAAATACAAATCTCTTTCTGCACCACCGTTCTGATCTGTGACTGATGATCTTTTCTAGCTGTTATTCACAAAGTGTAGGCTATATTTGACATTTTGTGTCAGTGTTTGTTGTCTGGATTTGAATGTGCAAAAACATAATTATCTCAGCAGTCCTGATGTTAAAGCAGTTCCTCACTTTGCTTGGTCTACGGTGCCTTGTTTCCTTCTGTCTTTTGATTGATGATCGGAGCGTCAGGACTTTCGATTTCCTGGAGGATGGTACTGTGGTGTTTTCCTTGCTCATTGTCCCAGCCCTGGCCTGCCAGCAGCAGCAGTATGATTGCGAGCAAAAGTAGTGTGACTACTGTGGAGGTCAGCTCTGGGCTTAGCTGCAGGCTGAGCTGAGGCTCTGGGACATCCTTCGTCCTGAATGAAACGCACTGAGGCTTTCTGCTCTTTCCTGATCTCCTGCTGTCATGCGTGGTGCCCTCACTAATCCCTAAATGTAGACACACTCTATAAAATGTCTCTGCCTGCAGGTGGGTCAGGTTGAAGCTCTGAGTACCAGCCAGGATGCGTGTGGTGTATGTGGGCGTGTGTGCGTTTGAGTATATGGCTTGCCAGGATAGACGAGTTGAAGGGAGGTTGCGCCCGCTCTGCCAGGACAGGATAGCATTGTGTTGTCCAACGTCCCTCACCTCCAACCTGGCATCTTCGCTGAATAACTGATATCCCTTCTTATTAGCAGCCACCCCCCTCTTTCTTTTCTTCTCTCTGCCATGCACACCAACGGTAACGCTGCGTGTATCTGCTCCCAGTGCATTCTCAGCTACACAGGTATACAACCCTGCCTCGCTGGAGGTGACCTTGTTCATTTCCAGAGTTCCCTCAGGCAATAGCCTGTAGTGTTTAGAGGGATTACAGGGAGTATCATCTTGAGGCTGGCTGTGAGAGACGCCGGATGTGTGGTTGAATCCCTCAGAGGCTGCCAGGCTGTGGCAGGGAGCCGGAGCTGGTAAACCTTTGGATGCATGACTCGGTGCAGGACCAAGTCTCAGCCCAGAGGGAGTCACCCAGTACAGTTCAGGCTGTGGATCCGCAAGAGCTCGGCAGTGCAAGACCAGTTTTCCTCCTTCTCTCACCCCAACGTAGGAAGGGAGGGAGCTGGTAGGGATCATGGGGAGACATGAGGCCGACATCTCCCTGGAGGACACCTCTCTCACTCTGCGAGCTCTCAGCTCTGCAGGTTCGGAGCACAGTGTGGCCTGGGGCTGGATGAAACGCACCATTCGAGGTGTATGTCTCTCTGTTTGTGCGTCTTCACTGTGATGGGGAGAGGCCTCCTGAGCGGCCCAGTGAAACAGACAGTCACAGCGCAGTGGGTTGGAGTGTAAGCTGACCTCCTGAAGACTCGGCAGGGAGAGCATGATGTGCTGGTGCAGTGCGCTCAGAGAGTTGGAGTTGAGCATTAGACTCTCCAGCCTGCTCAGCTGGAGGAAAGCCTGAGGATGAATGTAGGACAGTCGCGGGTTGTTGGTGATCTCGAGCTTCGTTAGCTCCGGAAGGTTTTCCAGGGCAGCTCTCTCAATGGACACCAGCTCCTCCATGTTGTTCAGGCCGAGCTCCTTCAGGTGGACCATATCTCGGAAGTCCCCTGTCTCGATGAGTTTGATGCGGTTCTTGTTGAGGTCGAGGAACTTCAATCCTGGCACTCTCATCAGGGCCTGAGTGGGAACCTTTGTCAGCAGGTTATCGTAGAAGGAGAGGCTTTCTAGGCCATCCAACCCTTCCAGTGCTTTTTCAGCCAAGCCTCTCAGACCCATTCCACCAAGAACAAGACTCCGGAGGGATTTCAGGGCCAGGAAGCCCCGCTCAGGCAGGGCCTCCACAGGGTTTCCCCCAAGCATGAGAACTTCCAAGCGGGGCAAAGCCCTGAACCACCAAGGGTCAACAGTGGTGAGTCTGTTGTTGTTGATATGCAGACGCAGTAGGGAGTCCAGACCGGTGAAGGCTCCAGGTGCTATCGCGTGTAAGTTGTTGTGACTGAGGAAGAGCTCCTGCAAAGCTGGAAGTGAGGAGAAGGAGGCCTCAGGGAGTCGACTGAGATGGTTTTCCTCCAGGTGTAAAGACAGTAGAGAGGGCAGGGAGGAGCTCTGAGCTATTGTCTTGACACGACTGAAGCGATTCTGGGAAAGGTCAAGATCGGTGAGGTTGGCGAGTCCATGCAGCACCGCAGTGTTGAGCTCAGACAGAAGGTTACTTTGCAGGCGCAGGGTGTGTGTGTTCGGGGGTATGGGTAAGGGGAGCTTGGTCAAGAGCAGGTCATTGCAGTCCACAGTGGGAGCTTCATGGTAGACAGAATCAGGGGAGAACCACGGCTTGATCTGACACACGCACCGCACCGGGCAGGTGACGTGCCATGGTAGCGCGTGAGGGAGCGAGCCCACAACGCCTGGCACACATACACTAACCAACACACACAGGAGACACTGTGACTGTAGAAACATTAAAGTCGGCCTCATAATCCTCGCAGGTCACAAGAGCTGATTCAGACAAGGTGGGGAAGAGTTTGTTGTTAGGATGTGAGATGAATCATTTGGACAAGAAATGAATGTAAAGTCTTGTTATTAACAGTTTCAAGATGTTTGTGGCAACTGTAAAAGGTAGACCAGAAGGGTCAGTGTCGTCATTCATACAATCTAAACCGATTGAAGAGCGATACAATTGTTAACATTCTACAACAGAGTCAGACACAACTAAAAAGCTGAAATGTGCATGTTCGCTTTGTAGCCACAGACTTTAGTTTCTGTGTGGTAGAACAGGGACTGCACAATGGATGTAGCTGGATGATGGCCTTTGTTGTCACACCATCGATTTCACATCCTGGCCACAGGTGGAGGACTCATGGCTCCCAGCGCGGTGGCTCACTGTTTTGTCAGAAACACAAGAAGAGAAAAAGAGAGAAATGAAAATGATCAAACCAAAATCAGCTGTTTGCTGTAGTATAGTTTGCTATTAAATACAAAACACATTTCTAAGCAGTATACCTCATCAGTTCCTACTCTAAACTAAATCTGTCTGCAATTGAAATGCAATCGATGTCTTGGCAAGGTCACATGACGTTTTCAAGGATGTAGTTTGCAGAAATGCTGTGCAGCCGAGAAGAGCAAATGAGAAGTGAAGGAAAGAAGATGGATGACCCCAGGGTTTCTTTCAGCCCAAAGGAAAAAGGTAAATATACAGGAGTGATGAAATTGTGTTGCACTTTAATATTTCATGTCAGTGCTTCACATTCAGTGTTCAGAGCACAGCATCCCACAAATGTTATTTATTATGAAACAGTTAAAAAGACCCTGAGGATCTTTTATATTATCAGCTGTACTTAAGGCTGTTATGGGTAAGACTGCGTGAATGTAGCTGCTGCTTGAACAAATTCACATACACCCACACACACACACACACACACACACACACACACGGAGAGAGACACAAACACACCAGTTACATCAGTATAATACATACATACCAGAGCATGGTACAACACCATCACATTAACGGATCGCAGACACTTGGCAGCAATGAGATCATTCCAGTAATTAGCAAACCAGTAGTGCAAAAAAAGAGACAGCGTCTGTGTCAGAGTAACAGCTATCAACCTGTTCTTGACAGCAGGTTTTAATTTACAGACTACATGGAAGTCAGGATATACTTTACACAATAAAATATGTACAGGCTAAAAGGTTACGTGTTTGTTATTGTGCATTAAGTAACATCCAATAAACAGCAGTATTTTTAATTTCATTAAATCTACATTAATTGTTTATTGGACATCTTTGGGGGCAGCGAGAACATGTAAACACCTTGTCACGTTGTTATTTTGTTCCAGCAGACATAGAGCAACATCATTCATATGCAGTCATTTTTCTGTCCAGTGTTCACTCTGCTTTCTACTTCTGAGAAGAACATCTGGCACTGTAGCTCCTAAATGCTCTACTATGTTTAATAGCTAGTTGCTCATTTTGATTGTCTGCTGTTTGGTGCTGGATAGGTAGTGTTTGGAGGGTCTTCGCTGAAAACAGAGAAACTATGCTGATAAGAGGGTGAATCCGTCACAGAGAGTCTTTCACTTTGAGAAGGTTCAAGACTATTGAAACGGAAGATAAACTATTTTCTATTTTTTATTTTTATTTTGTGATATCAGGCTTGTGCACAATTGTGACCAATAAAAATAAAACATTTGTTGTTTTTTGCAGCCCCTCCTCTTTCACTGTGTACAGCCACTTCACCATGCTAACTTTTGTCTCTCAGCCAAATCCATCTTGGTTGCTCGTACTTTATCAATTTTAAATAAATACTCCTGTGTGTTTATCATCTATGCTAACCATTTACATAAATTAGTACGAGCACACCAATGTAATCGGGTGAAAGTCACCAGATGACACAGTCACTCATTACACCACAACACTGGTGCATTGCACAGAGGAACAGAGGCCTACTTTCTGCTAGCTGCTTTTAATGTAAGTTAAGATAAAACGTCATGGCAAAACAAAGCAGTTTGTTTAATTTTGTCCCAAATAGACACTGTGAGGAGCAGGAGACTCCTTTCAGATGTCATTTGGATGGAAACTGGAATCGGGGCATCATACAGACCAAACTCTTCGTCCCTGCTCTCCTTGGAAAGAGACTATAATGAAATCATTCAGGGTTCAACACCAAGCCCTGTTGTCTCTTGCTGTGTTCATCAGAAGCTAGCTATTTTGGACATTAGTGACCTATTTCAATATGATTGTTTATTGGGTATAGTTTTCATTGGGTGCACAATTGGTTTACGTGGACGCCGTGCCAGACTAAAGTGTAATGTTTAAACTTACTGGCCATGTTGGTGCCGTTGTACCTCCACCCATACGTTTGATTATTGATGCTGTTGCATCCATCAGCTGTGTGTGTGAATATGTGACCGACGTGCCAGGATATGAGATGCTGTTAATGTTTGTTTTGTTAGTGCCTGTAATACTACCTCTGAGGTTGAAGTATAAATTAAAATTTTGAATTTAAGTTGACTTGTAATTGAGCAGGCATTGGGAGTGTGACATTTTGCTGTTCTTTGTCCTCTGAAAGTGTTTTTTTTCTGTGGGACACACTAGAGATATATTATGCGATATTGGTATCGTGCGTGACAAACACACACTATCACACAGGCCGAGAAGGCTTACTGCATAGTTGCTATGGAAACACATCTCCCAGCCTCACTGTGCCTCCGTGTTTAGAGATTGATAAGAACACAGATTAAGCAACACTGACTGGACCGAACATCAAAAACCAACATCAAAAAACTATTTTCTTTTTCATCAGCCTCCATGTGTTCTACGAATCAGTTCTGTATGATTGTAAATTAAGTTTTCATCAGATTAACTTTTAACCTTCGTTGCAAAGTCTTTCCATCCTGGCAGCTGGTGCGATAAAACATGACTAACAGGAAGTACTGTACAGCTCCGCAGGCTGTAGCGTCTGTTAGCGGATGAGGAGAAAGTGCGGAGAGATGCTTGCCAAGTTTTTTTCCCCAAACAAGAAGTAGAAATAATCAACAGATTACATTCAGCACAGTTATTGAAATGGAGAGAAAAGTGATTAGCATTCAGACATTCATTTGTATGAGAAGCACAAAGAGAGGGACTTTGTGTGTAAGTGCTGCATGTTATCAAGCTCTGAGCTGTAACAGCAAACACACAAGAGCAGTTACCTCCTGGGACTCCCCTTACTCTTCTATCACCCATTCACTTTCATCTCCTCTCGCTCATCTTTTCATAAGCAACCTGCTCAATAATGGATTCATCATTTAATTTTGATGCCCCCCCCCCCTGTTTTTGTCATTTGCTCTCCAAAGCTCTTGGTGTTTTCGGTGTTTTCAGGAAACCAGCACTGTGTGTAGATGTGTGTATACAAAGGATTTTTGCTGATTTATAACTTGAATTATTCAGAAAAGGGGTGTGAAATAGATCTGCATGACTCAGCGGCTACTTTCATAACTCTGTCTCCTCCCAGCTCTCCACAGTCTTTTCCCCTTTGGATAAACAGGATGAATATGTTTGCTGGTAGCAGCCCTTATTACTCCCCTGACTCTTCTGACTCAGATCTTTTAGAAAGTTTAGTATAACTGCACAGTAGCTAACATATTAACACCCCGGCCATACAAGGATGAGTAATAATAACAAAAACAAGACAAAGCTGCACTAACTCCAAAATCTGAAGTGACTCTCCTGTCGACAGCTGTTTTCTTAAACACTTCATAAATAGTTGCAGCGGGAAAGTAGTGACCTAAATAGAAATAGTGACTGCATCTAATTCTACTGAAACTATGTTGTCTTTTGACTCCATTTCTCATACATTTTCAACCAATCAATCAATCAGTTTTATGTGTATTGGTTTATATATTTCTGCACTAACATTAACATAAAGCTCATCTTATCCAACCGGTCCATCCATTTTGTGAAGCCTTTTAAAAGAGTACTCCAGCGATTTTGCATTGCACTCCTAGAACATTGTCGGACTCACAAAATATAGTTTAAAAAACAAAAAAAGGATGAAAATCGGTTACAGGCTACAAAGCACTGGTCAGCTCACTTCTTTCTAACTCCACACCCTCAGAGTATTGGGACCCAACCAACGCTGACTCAATTGACATCAATTACAGACAAGCAGCTCCCTCTGCAGCCACAAAACATTACAACAGCTCATAAAACATGTTTTCACATTATGCCATATTACTCTCCAGGACCTGTTAACAGACTTTGATGTGTTAAATTCTCACTGCCCAATCTAAGAATACCTTATATCAGTGGTTCCCAATCCCCAAGGCATTACACAATTATTAAAATGTTTGTTTTTTTTTTACTATTTTTTGATTAATTGTTTGTCAGATTCTTTTCTTTTTTTGTGCTTTGTTCTTGTTAAATACTGGATTATTTCAGGCCCCTAATTATTTAAATGAAACTATATGAGAAGAAACCGTCTCAACTGTTTCAACAGGTCAACATGCCAAAAAGGTTGGGAACCAATGTCTCGAACTCATACTGGCTGCACCATTAGTTTAATGTCATTACAGTTACTTCAGGTGGTTGCTTATCTTATAAATTCTGCACCGAACACTGACCATCCAAAAACAACTACTCGGGCCTTGCTGAAGCCCTTACGCAGATGTGTATTTGTGCATAATTGTGGGCTTTTAACGAAGCAGTCTCTCCACTGAGTTGTTCCACTCAGCATACTAGACGTATGTGCATTTTTCTGGATTCTTTTGACTTTCATATTCATGCTGAATGCAACAGATGCAATTAAAGTTTGTGGATCAATACCTTACCACGTTACCATTGGACAGGTTTTGCTTGTTTCTTTTTAACCAATTTTGAACATTCTCTCATACATATAAATGGATCTGTTTCCCTCCCACACACTCACCCACACAGCTAATACCTGAACAAATCAGCTAATCCTCCAACTGTATCTACCTGTACCCTAGATGGCAACCAAGCAAACAAAGAATAATCAAATACATCAAAGAGGATTGTCCATCTGATTACCTTTGCAGGACCCTCTTAGCAGTTTTTCATTTCTTTGAGCACCTCACTTCACTTGAAATATGCAAACTCCTGTTTATAGTAGAGCCTTCAACACTTAACATTTGAAGAGAGGAGCATGATATTATGCAATGATTTAAAGGCATACATTAAAACCATACAACTAAGATCTGTTCTTTTATGCTACACTAAAGAGCTTTTTTACTTTCCAATAGCAATTCTGGCAGTATAGCTTGTGCTCTGCAATTCTAGATTGAATTGAAACAGTTAGGTGTGGGATAATTGATTTGTCTCAATCCTGTAATGGGCAACTATCAGGAAGTCAATGGCTTGAAGTTTTTCAGAACCCCTATGGGATGTGGGAAAAAAACATCAATTAAAGGTCTGTGTTATTTCAGACTAGTCACATAAATGCTTCTGCAGAAGTTGAACATGCCTCCCCTATCGATAAGAGAGAGACAGAGAAAAGCTTTTCTACCTACATTTTCTAACAGATAAAGGGAGAATATAAGTGTGGAGTAGAAATACAAGTCATGCTTATATGAACTGAACCATTCATATAAAAGGGTTTGTTTGTGCTGTGCAGCTACGACACAGAGAGACACTGCAACAGGGCGGAATAGAGAGAGAGAGAGAGATAGAGAGATGTAAGACAGATAGAGGTGCTGGATGCAGATCCTAACATTAATAATAATGTAAAAATTCCCTGAATGCCCTTCAGCTGAATCTTCCAGCATGCACACTAACACACACATATGCACAAACTTATGATGTTTAGCACAAGAGACCCTCGAGCTTCTCCATTTCCAACACACACACCTGCTACCAAAACCTTTGACTCAATACTGGTTACACTCAGAGTGAATGTGCATGCATCCCCAGCTGCATGGCTGTGTGAGTGCTGCAATGACCTGTTTGCTTAAAAAATGACATCAACATATTTTAGTTTCTTTTACCGCAACTGAAGCACCGACTACATCGCTCTCCGCCGATTCTTCCTTCCTTCATTTGCTCAGTCTTTCTTTGCAAATGCCTCACGTGCCAGGATGTTTTATTTTTTTCTTCTTCTCCCTCTCAGTCACACGGTTGTTGAAATATCACTTCCCCAGCTCTCCTCTCTGTGTCACTGGAGCCGAAGAGTAAAGTGGCACAGACTGAATCCCTCTCTCTCTCTCACTCTCTCTCTCTTCCTCCAGCTAAAATGGAGATGAGGTGTGTTCTGCAGCAGAGCTTCTGTCCCTCTCATCTCTCCTCCTCTCATTGCCTGCCTCACTCTCACTCTCACTCTCTCCCTCGTACTCTTTTCCTGTTTCACAAGCCGAAGAAACAACACTTGCATTAGTTACAGTGTGTGATTTTTCTGGATGGGAAGTTTTCTTTGGCTCCTGCTGGCATTTTAGTTTTTTGCCGTGGTCTGTGAATTAAAGACCTGCTTACAATGCCAGGTCATAGATTACAAAGGTGGCAAAGCAGCAGGACAGACAGTTTAAATGATGAAAGTCGTTATTTCTTTGTCCTTATTACAGTACCTGTAAATTGCTGATTGTGTGAAACTTTTTTCAGAACTAAAGTTGTGTCTCATCTCTTAATGAACAATTCTATAACATACTGTTTAGCCATTTCATTTTTGTCAGGTTTCAATGTGGAATGGTCTCCAAAGTGATACAAGCCTACAGTGCATATTGCATAGCACTTCAGAGAGTGCTACAGGGATGACATATTATTGTAGGACAACCCAGAAGTTAGCACAACACTGGTTCCCTCGACGAAAACCCAATTGAATTCGCACATTGGATTTTGGCTAATTGCAGAAAATAAGCTCTGTGGCAAACAAAGCTTTATGATACGTACGCGTTTTGTTCTCCTTCACAAATGAACACTAATTTCATGATTTTTTTAAGTGTATATGCAATTACAGAAATAAAAAGCTAACGTGAAGCTATAAATGAACCACATCACGGTCATATGACTTCATGTCACCACCACGAAGCTAAAGGTGGACTAGTGTTTAGAGTGATGACGTTTTGTTGTCTCATTTAGCCACCTGTTAGGAGCCGCCTTCAAAATTCATGAGTGGGGTATTTACTGAGATATTTTATGTTGTAGAACAGAAACAGTGCAACATATTTAGCGTCTGTTGACCACAGGCCTTCTTTCAGGCATCTAACCAAAAACCCATTCAAAAAACCTCATTGACTTCAGGACGAGGGAACAGGAAGTACAAAACTGCTGTCTCATTTACGGGTTTGGGACTCATTCCTGCAGCACTCAAATGTGTGTTTATATTAAAAGGAACTTTAATTTTGTGTTGATTTTGGCGGTTCCTGTGGACAAAAGTGGTAGTGTTTCCGAGCGCCAGAGTCCCTTTGGAAAATCTCTCTTTTTACTGCAACAGGGTGTGACAGTCGGCCCCACTCAGTCCTGGTTCTGATTTCTCCTGTGCCTCCCTTCCCTCCAGCGGGAGACTGTTTCATTGCCCTTTATTGGATAACAGCTTATATATAATGCCGCATTAACAGGAGATGGTAATTTAAAGAAAAGGCATTTAGTCCAGTTTGTGTGCCGACGTTGAGAAAATCTCAGACTTACTGCTGCATGCATATATTTTCAATTTTTTCAAGACAACTAATGCTCTGTAAGGAATAAGGTATGCCATTATTTTGGTTATATATTGAAGATAGATATAACTCTAACTCTGTGGATTGCTCCAGGCTGCAGCAATACACTAGTTAGTATATGATGAATAGCATGCATGAAGCATAGTAGGTAATACCCCGTCATTGAAATTAACTTGGCAGTACAACTCATACAAATGTTTTTTGGCAGGTTGAGACTGAAGTGGAGGTTTTTGCAAATAGCATCTGCAGTTAAAGCAGAGAAGCACATGCGAGAGCGTTCTTTCCTGCCACAGCAGGCAGCTAAATCAGCAAAAAGATTTAAAAAAACACTTTATGTTACCTGATCTGCACCAAACTGCCAACAGACAAAGTCAATGAGTAGCTGGGGGACATTTTGCCAGTCAGAACCATTTATTACAGGTAACTACCACAGTGCAGTATAATCTTAAGCTTTTAGCAGCAATAATATTACAAATGTTATGGATTCATCCTTACCAGAAGGTAAATGAGGTGCTCAATAATCCCCAAAATGTGCATAAATACTAAATAATTGTATTACTTCAACCACCACCCTTTTATTTTACCAACCTTACTATATTGATTGCTGCAAAAGTATTCACAAATTGTTAAATAAAAGACAAAATTCAATGAAAGTTTTATTTGATGTGTGCGTTAAACATTATTAAATATTTAGTCAGTCCAAAGGGACAAGACATTCAGAGATGCATTTTTTATTTTAGCACGAAGAGAGATTATTAAATGAGGTGCTTGTGAAGAGAAAAGGGAGGTGTATAGAAACACAGCCTCTGGTCAGTGACAAAATACACCCATGCTGATGTTGAATCACACAGACTTTGAGCAGTTTCTCCTCAGTACGAAAACTAGAAAAAAATGAGTTTGTGTGGTTGTGTAGTTTAGTTTAAGACAGTGTAACAATGTTGAGACAAGTATAACTACGGTAAATCCATCTTTCTTCGTGATGTGTAATACTTGGACTATAAGTGCTCTTGATATTTTTACATCCAGCAAACTACAGTGTAATTTTGAGACATTGCAGACCTGTGATGTCCTGGATCCTGTGACGGTTTTGAAGTGGTTCCGTTTTGTGGCGTACGATTCATCTTAAGCATTCATGATCATTGACCTGTTGCTAATGGGAAAACATAACATACACACTCATACAGCTCCCTGCTTATGCTCATCTCTCTTTTCATTGTATTTCACACATACAGAGAGTAGTGGTGGTGAGGTTATGTGTGCATTTAAGTGGGTGTGTGGTAACTGAAAATCAGGTAGGAGTGGTTGTGAAAGAGCGAATAAGAGTATAGAGAACCGCTACTAGAGGAATATACTTTGAGACGGAAGAGCAAGTAAATAGAGAATTTTTCCAGCTTGTTACCTTATATTATTATTATGTATTAATGCGTATTATTGTGGATATGTCTACACGTCTGTGTGGAGAACAGTTTGACTTGGCTCTCCAATGGCTTTCTCCTTCGTTTGCTTGATTCATTCAGGAGCCGACACACAAACGCACACACACCCACGTGCCCTGCTGACTGAAAGGCAGCATGGATAAGTGGTAGCTCGCTGAAAGGAAGGGAGAGAGAGGAGGTCGCCATAGCAACACGGGGGGGTTGTGGCTTTTATTGGAGAAAGAAAATCAGCTCTGCCTTATCCTTCCATCTCACTCTCTCAATTCCCCTTTTCTATGTATCACCTCTTGTCTTTCTCTGTCTTCATTTCCTTTTTGACGTCAACTGCCTGGGACATCTACAGCGGATTGTTAGCACTTTAATTTCACAACATGGCTAAAGATATAGTATCATGTATGATGCTGCACAAAAGACTAACTAAGAGTCTGTCTCATATTATAAGAATACAACGCAGAAGTACTCATCAATGCAGCAATGGTGATACAGACAATGATAGTGTTCTGAAACCATGTGAGTGTGTTTTAAGCTTTTAGTGAGTCAAGGTCCTAAATCCTAAATAAGTAAATTGACACTTTGTTCCCAGTACATCTGAACAGAAGCAAGCATATCTGTCAAGTTTAGGAATGTGACATTTATCAAGCTTGCACGCAGACACACAATGCACAATAGCACATAATGGCACATGATATCCCATAACAGGTTGCACGTGGACATGTTGAAAATGTGATATGCTATATGCATGTCACAGCATGCTGTATGCATTTTGTTCACATGTGGAGTGAACCAGCTGGACCTGGGAACACTCAAGGACTTACGGACAACCCTCCCACAGCACAACAGCTAAACATGCATGTGTGTGTGTGTGTGTGTCTGTGTGTGTGTGCGTGTGCGTCCACAGAAACATTTCAGATAGAAAATGATCGAGAATTTGCTGCCATGGTGACAAGCCCAGCAGTATCTAATAGCAAAGGGCTGTTGAGAAGCATGCCCACTGTGGGAGGAGAGGCGGGTGAGGGTGGAGGTGGAGGGAGCAGAGGGACAGAGATAGATAGAGGGAACTGAACACAGTGCTACACAGTTTGCACAGTATTCACATTTTTATTTTGTGTTTTGCAGATCACACTCCACATACAGTTGTTGTTTGACATTCTTCCAGACAAAAAACACAACTGTTTTTTTGTTAAATATGCACGCCTACATCTCTGAGGAAGATCACAGGCCCAAGAATAATCGCACACTGAAGAGAGCAGCTAATTGCACAACTTAATTAAACGTGCTGCCCTGCTCAGATAGACCTGAATGTAGAAAATTAGATATGTTATAATTACAGAGCTTCACCGTGATTCTGTAATATGTTGTTTTATACACAAGAGCAGATGGGTGCTGTTCAGTGGCTTCTTCCTGTGTTTCTCCAAAGACAACGTAATTGATGACGATTAATCCTTGTTTCAAAGTGTTTCAATTAGCTAGCACAGTGTGTGTGTGTGTGTGTGTGTGTGTGTGTGTTTAATGCGTGGGAGATGGCAACATGTTTGTGTTTATCAGCTGGCTCTCTGTGCAGAGTTGCCATGGTGAAAGAGTTTGGTTTGTGCTTCAATGTAATGTATCTCTGCAGTAAAAAAAGATCTGTTATTTCAGAGGTTAGGACCTGTCTTGCTTGCAGCATACATGAACGTTTTGACCATTTCAAAGAGCAGATGACATCACTGGAGGTGGAACTAAACTGATCCAAGAATAAATGATCTTTCATTCTTGACCATCTTGTACAAAATGGACCACAATGGACTCTACACAGCTTATTGTCTCTCTCTGGTGGTGAGATTTGGTAGTGTATCTAACACTTTGGTCATAATGTATCTACTTCAGTATGGGTTTAATGAACAGCATATGCGTAAAGTCACGTACAATAGGTCGGTATTTTTTCACACTGTGTTTAACAAGTAGTTTAGCATTGAGCTGCTGTTGACAGGGAAAATACGTTGCGTCTGACACTCAAAGTTTACTTGGAGGGAAAACCAATTGAAAGCAAGTACTGGCTGAGCTGCTTCATATGTGATCATATATTCATTGGAAATGGCATTTCATTACATTGTGTGGAAACCTGTAATATAGTAATCCACATATAGCTGTTAGTGTTGATGGTATGTTGTGTGTTTATTTAACTAATCACACCAGTGTGTGGGGGTCTG